GCAAACCTTTGCTGAATCTTTGGTCAGTTATTGAGATGCCAATGGAACAGTAAGTATCAGAAAAGTTTAAAAAACAAAGCACCAAATTCACCAAGCCATAAATTCTGTCATCTGTAATTGAGTTTAAACTCATGAAATTTAAAAACTTTTTTTAAAGAAGAAATGGAACTTTAGTTAGATCAGGAATATATATTTTATACAAAAGGGAAAATTTAAAGGATACAGAGTATATTTTTAAGCATGAAATTGAAAATTTTTTCAACAACTAAATAATTCATGTTTTACCTATGAACTTTATATAAGACCAAGAAAAACTTTCACTTATTTAGGAAAACACAATACTGGGGCAAGAGATGTAGCTCAGAGGTAGATCATGTGTCCTAAGCACAGAGAGAGAGAGAGAGAGAGAGGCAAGATTTACTTTACCATTCCTCTATACAATATTCTGAATAAGCTGGATAAAAATGGTTAGAAATGGCTTCATCCCTTCACCTTTGCTCAGGAATGGAAGGTGAATGAGACTGGGTTCATGTAGAGAGGTGATGGCACAGAAGGCTCTCCGAATACTGATGCTTGCCCAGAGTCTGGAACAGTACAGTAAGGAGGCACATCCTCCCTGCCTCTAGCAAAGAATCACTGGGTATAAAGACAGATGTGTGTGTTGTATGTATCAACTGTGCTAAGTAGAAAAACCAAAAATAATCCATTTTTAGAGCATATGTGAAAACACAAACTGTAATATTTCTTAATGAACTTAATGAAAAACATTATTTAAAAATATTAAAGCATCAAGGAAAAGCACAAACAAACAAACAAACAAAACTGTGCAACACTCTGGGTAGTAATTCTACAGTATAGATGGCAAATCTTCATTAGAGATGATGGAAGCCCTGCAGCTCCATGAGGACAAACCCATACTTATATTTTCACTCTAGTCAGCATCCCTAGCACCTACCATGCAATAACATAGAAGACAGTGATGGATATGTGTAAGTTAGAATGGCAGGCGTTGGAATCCAACTGTCTGGGTTTGACTCTCAGCTTTATCACTTAACAGCCTATAATGCTGAACAATTTACTTGGCCTTTTATATCTCAATTTTTAAACCTGAAAAACAGTATCTACTGCATAAGATTGTTTCATGAATAAATAATAAGAAGCAAGAACAACAACAGACACACATAGTACTTATCTTTGTGCTAAACACTGTTCTAAACCCTTTTCACTTACTTATTTATTCATGTATTCCTCTCCAAGCCTTATGAGATAGAAATGAATGCCCCAAGTAAAAGATGAAAAAACTGAGGCTCAGAGAAGTTATTAACTAGGCCAAGGACACAACCAATAAGTGAGCAAAAGAATTCATGTGCTTAACCACTCCACCATTCTTGAGATAACATGTGTTAAAGCTTAGTACAGTCTCTGACATACAGCACATGTCCAATAACTAACATTTATTGATAACTGTCAAATGTTTGCAGGACTCTGAGGTTACACCAGGGTTTAGCAGGGAAGAATGCTAGATCAGCTGGTGATACCTGAGTGGGTGTGTAGCATGCTAGTGGTCGCACTTGTGCCCTTTTTACATAATCCTGATGTCTGGCTAGATTGTCACCTCCACTTCTTCTTTCTACTTATTTATTCCCACTCAGTTGCCAAAGTGCACTTACGAAAACATACATTCATCTTGACTCCCTTTTAAGGAACATATAATTGGCTATCCCATAAAATTAAAATTCCACTCCTGGCTTTACAGGGCCTTACAAAGGTAGGGAGGAACCCTGCCTTTGACGATCATTCAAGTGCTCAAGTGCCTACTTATGGAATAAATACTTGATGTGAATGGCCATGTTTCATTATATCAGTGTTTTTGTTTCTTCAGAATGTTGATAAGCCGTTTTTGTTTTACGTATTTGTTTTGGGGGCATTTGTTATTTGTTTCAGTAGAAACAAATAAAACATTTAAAGATCTCATTTTATTTTTATTCAGAGTGAAATAAGCTTGATCAGAGAAGAAGAAAAATGGAAGCATATAAGAGAAACTTTGCATTACTACTAAACAATATAATGTTAATATCTAGGTAATTTCTGATAGCTTTCTAATCATCTATCCTGAAGTTCAATCCTGGATCATAGAGAGAACCTGTAGTGATTGGAAATGGAAAGTCAGAACTAAAGCAAAAAGAAAAAGGCAAAGCACCATAATAATATTCCAAACCAAACAATGTATCCCTTTCCAAAAGAGTACATTGAAAGGTTTACTAGAACAAATCACAACATAGGAATTACTGGTGTGTATATTAAGGGACTGCTTTTAACAAATAGAAGTTACTAAGTAAACACCAGTTTGAATTGATGTCTCTAAGCCAACCACGTCAATAGACAAAAATAACATGGATTTAATTGAAAAATTAGAAAGAGAATCAAACCATATGTGTTGTTTTGAAGACTTGGCAACTTGCCAACTTCCCAAATGTTAAACCGACCTCTACAATCTGCATGAGGAGATACAGGATTGTACTAGAAGTTCATCCAATTTGCTTAGATTTGCAGATAATTTCTAACAAAGCCACATCCAGATGTAGCAACATCCAGATAATTCCTGAGTTGAACATTCTGATGTCAGCTCAGGATTTCTGAATGTGCACACACACATCCAATTGGATAGTTCACAGGTTTGGATAGCTGGAATAAGCAAGTTGACAAGTAGCAGTTGTTTTTAGAAGTATTGTTATTTTCCTTCAGTTCAGAAAGGGAGTCTTCTTAGTTGAATATATCTACTTGGCTTTAATTTGATGAAATGTTTGATGATTCATATAAAGTTATAACAAAAAATCAATACCAGAAGAATTAATGTAGTTAGGTAGAGAAGATAAAGACATTTTAGAATTAGTTATTTACTTGTTGTGTATTTATTGAACAGCTGTAATCCAGCAGATCTAAGAGATGAAAACAGACTAATAATTTCAGGGACAACCATGAGTCATTTCTTATAGCTGCAACTGAAGCTACTGTAATAGGGTCAATAAAGAGTTATAGTATTAGACAGAATTACAACTTAATTAAAATGTCTTTAATTGGCAAATGTATTGACCAGGAAGTCACCTGGTACTTCCTCAGCAGTGTTTACATTATTTCTTATAATTTTTTAATAAAAAAATCGCAAGCCTTTCTTTTCTGTAAAATGAAATTTCATTCATGGGATTGTAGCTGTAAGTAGGCCTGGAAAAAGTTCTGAAAGGAGGGATGCGATCAAACTGAATTGAACCTTATGGCCCCAAAATAAAAAGAGATAACTGTTATTCACAATTCGTTTAACTGATTTTGTCAGTGATTTTCTGGAACCAAGCCCAGAGACACCCTTCTCTCCAGGAGCAAATCTCTCTGCTGAGAACACCACAGGACATGGGTTCCCTCACTACTCCTTCCAGCCACACCCCCCTCCCCAATGGAAAATAAGAATCCTATGAAATAGAGCAAAAGTAGGCAGGAAATTGGCTATGAAGACTGAGATATGGGTAAATGATTTAGAATCTGCTTGTAGTTTAAATGATACTTTATGAATGGGTAAGAAAACAAATTTCTTCTTAAAAATTTCAAGAACCAGCTGGTGCATAAATCACAGTCCAAGTGTTTTCAAAGGTGAATTCCTACACGGCAAAAAAAAAAATTGCTGTGTGTTCAATTGAACAGAAAATATTCAGCCATTCATTTTCCAGGTAGATTCTAATAACAAGTCATGCCTTTGAATGAGTAAGCTCTAATGGAGCAAATGGTAAATAAGAAGATCCTACAATGCAGACATTAATTTGTGTTAAAAAAGAAACACATATTTATACTGTAGCTACAAAATGCTCAGTGTAATACAATTACACAGTACAATTTAAAAGTTCAATTTAGCATCCATCCTGAAAAAATAAAATTGTCTATTTAAACAAGGTCTTCAAAAACAAAACAAACAAACAAAAGGCCCAGTGGTTTAATCTCAGTGTAAAATTACCATAGAAAACTATTCCCAAAAAATTGAAACAGGAAATCAAACATTCTGGGTAATTTATCTGCTGGGACAAATCTGTTATTGACCTTGACAGAGCGTTGACTCATGAGGCCATACAACAGCATCCTAGTAGTATCTATATTTCTGCGAATGCCTTAAAACCCAAGCCTTCATCTTATTTTCAACGACTGACTTGCATGATGTTTGGAAAGCAGTATGGCCCTGGACCTTACTTCGAAAGATGTCTGCTTTACTGGTTTCCAAAACTGATTTCCGTAAAGTAAGCCAATCCCTCAGCCTCCTCCCAACCCTACAGACTTTTTTCAATCCTTCAGATCAAGCTGTGTTTCCTGAATTATTGGTTCCTTATGAGTCTTTCTTTAAAGCCAGTACATACAGAACTCTATCCTCTTGTCCTGCAGCAGGGTGGGTTGTTTCAAGAGAGTTCTGGAAATTTACATTTTAGTGACACTCCACTTTTTGTCCATTTCACTGGGGGACTTTCGGTGAACGCTGAAGTTATTCCAGTTAGAGTAAATGTCTCGAGTGGTTCCTAAAAGGCACAGAAGTAAGAAAAGGGAGCCACACGCCCCTCCAGACCCCTGAGAGTGAGAAGTCTGTTTTTCCAATCCTCGCTCCTCCTTCCTTTCACAAGCAGCCACAGTGCGGTGCCCTCCTTGAACACTGCCATCATCTCCAAGACTGCATCCCAAGCATGAACCACAAAAGCACGCGCACCCACATACAGGTCACGGCCAGAGGCCCGCCCCGCTACAGGAACCGCAGCTTCCTGTCATCACCGTCCAGGTGAAACTAACCCCGGGGACGGGTCGAGGGGCAGCGCAGGCTGAGACCATTCGGATCGCGGGGCTGGCCGGAAGAAAGCGAGCAGTCAGCAAAGCGCACCTTCCCCGGGGTGGGGAAGAGGGGCCAGCGCGCGCAGGGCCACCAGGCAGAGGCGACGGCGCGCTCACCCTCGGCTCACGCGCGCGCCACTACTCACCAGCAGCCCAGGATGTCGGGAGCCCGCGAGGGACGGCGACTGCTGCGGCGGCCCCCCCGCGTGCCGTGTGGCTTTGGCATCCGTCTGGCGGCTACAGCCCGGCCGCGGTGGCTTTTGCAGGATGGCACTATAGCGGGGTGATAATGCAACCCAGCTAGAAGGAGCCCACTCGCCGGTGCCGGCCCAGCTTCCTCCCGGTTCTCTGCGGGCCGAGCGAGCTTTGCTAGTTCCACTGGCTGGGGCTCCGTGTGGCTCTCCTCTTCCTTTTCTCCTAATCTCCCCAGCGCTGGGCGCTACCGCGTCCTTGCAAACCCACGAGCAGGCCCACCGACCCGACCCTAAAGCAACTCTGCCTGCTGCCGCTGCTGCTGCCGCCGCAGGAAAAGAAATTGTCACTGCTTTGGTCCGGGCCTCCCCCGCCCGGGTTCCTAGGTGCCGCCTCCGCCTCTGCCTCCGCCCCCTCCTCGGAGGCTCTGGCCTGCCTGCCGCATGCCACAGAAAGAAGCTCGCAGGTGGCGGCTGGTCCCTGCGGATTGCCCAGAGCGAGACTGAAACTGTTAGGTGGGATTTACCCATCCGAAAATCTTCCTGCTTTCTGCACAGCCCGAGACCACCTAAAATGCGCTGTACAGCATGAATTTCACACAGATGGACAGAAATGGTGAGGTGAAGACCGCAGAGCACACAAGCCGAGTCTGACCGTGAAAAGCAAAAACCCAATGAGATATTTGGTGCAAATCCCACTTACACCTCATATAGGAATTCCGTTTTGAGATCTTTCTATAACTGGGTGCTCCCACCATAAAACACTTTACCTTTCCATCTCCCCACCTCCGCATACTTGCGGAAACACAAACTATTGTGATAGTTCCTGGATATTATTATAATCACATGCAGTGTTGTCAGTATGGTCCTGACACTATGCCAGGCACACAATACTTGTCATCTTACTTACCTGCTACTGCTCTGTATAATTAAAGCTGCTCTTATTTTTACGGTGAGTAAGAAAGCGAGAACGAAAGTTAATTTCTCTCTGCTTACTCACCTAGAAAGTAACTGAAGCTACAGTTTAAATCTGGGGGAAAGAGAGAGGGAGAGGGAGAAGGCGAGAGAGAGAGAGAGAGAGAGAGAGAGAGAGAGAGAGAGAGAGAGGAGGAGAGATCTTGATCTGACATCAAAGCTGTTTCTGTTGACTGAACAGGTTCTATTAAACATTTTAGGAACACAACTGGTACTGGATGAAATCCAAGCTCTTTTCTTGAATTTGGGAAGCTAGCTCCAAGGAGGAGAAATGACTGCAAAGTGTGTGTAGTGTGGCAGATTGACTTCTTAGTTGGCTTTTTTTCTGGAGACCCAACTTCTTGTTCCTCCTGCCTACCAGCAACAGAGCACTTTGTTCTTAGGCATTTCCCCTTCTTAGGCATCATTACCTTGCATTGTTTTTTTTTTTTTTTTTAATGAGGAGGACTGATTGTTGGAGGCAGCCTACAGCCTTGATTTTTAAACAATGGCATAGTTTTTCTTAATTTTATTTGGTTCCAAACCAATAAATTTCACAAAAATTTAGATTTTCTTTTCCAATGCTAGGGATCCCAGCCAGGGCTCATGCCTGCTAAGCATGAGAATTATTTACCACTAAGCTATATCTCTAGTCCCCAAAATTCAGATTTTTGGTATTTTCTGAAAAGTTGTGAGATGGAACAACATATGGTCCAGGGTGGGTCCTAGCTGGAGCAGAGTAGCAGGTATCCTCTTTAGAATACAAAGATGTTCCTCTGTTTTCCACAATACCCAACATTCCCATCTATTCACTCCCACCTTAGTGAGATTTCAAGATATGATAGACATTCGGGTTTGTAGTTCTGGACTGGGTAATTTCAGGATGAATGAGGCAATCTAAAATTCAGTGATAATTAAGAAGATTAACTATACATATTCCTCAAATATATATTTTGAAATGAAAAATTCCACCTTCATATTTATAATGCATTTCATATTTATAATTGATTTTCGATGGTCTTAGTACCTGCCATCCAAATTTACACTTAAAAGCAAAGTGGACTGCACATACTTGTAGTCCCAGCTAATCAGGAGACTGAGGCAGGAAAAAACTTTAAGCCTAGAAGTTCGGGGCTAACCTGGGCAACCTGTCTCAAAGAAAAAAAAAAGTTAAAAAACAGAAAAGAAAATATCTCAAAGAAGCTAAAATGGCCCAACAAATTGTTCTCATCTCTGGAAGCTAGGACACCATCATGTGATATAAATTCAGTCAATTGGAGGCTTCTGTATGCCTTTGAATCTAGATTTGAATCTGGATTCAATGTTTCAAGAACAGAAATTTTATAATTATTTCCATTATCTGCAAAGTAGCCTTCCTGTCAGGAATAGTAATGCCAGAGGTAACAGGCAATAGTGTCCACCTTTGGTAGTGGCAGTGGTGAACTGCTGTGACCTGTTCTGATTTCAGCTGCTGAGCTTCCCTGCCTATTTGGTGACCCTGATTCTCCAGCCTTCCTGTCGCTTTGGTAAGCAACAAGATTGGCTTCCAAATACATTTCTTTTCTGATTAATGTAGCTAGAAATAGTTTCAGTGTTTGCTACCAAGAACTCTGATGCAGCAATTTTGGAGGTAACTCAGGCTGTGTCTCTTTCATTCACTGAGTTAATGAAGAAGGAGCACAGGTGTATTTACATAAGTTTTATCTCAGAGAATTTTAATATGTTCTGTAGTTTTACTTGAATTTTTAAAGATTTAATCTCAAAAATAATGAAAAAAGCACATTTAAAAAAAAACATAGGATTCTCCCCTTACCAATCATAGAAGCAAAGATTGCTTACAAATAAATATTCCTTTATCTCTGGATAGAGTGCAGTGATATTAGCACTCTCATCGGTTGGTATAAGTTTGATACACTGCTGAGAAAGGAATTTTTCAGTGTGTTAACAAAAGTTGTAAAATGTACATATTTGTCTCTCCTAGTAATTCCACTTCTAAGAAGAAATTTATCTGAAAGATCTGAAATGAGGAAAAAGGTTTTTTCTGTAGACAGAGTTGTCAATGACTTTGAGAATCAAAATGTTTTATGGGTTTTTAATGACATTGAAGCTGCTTATGCTACAGTGTTAAGCAAAAAAGGATACAAAATTGAAATCCATATAGTATCAAGTAGGTAAAAATACAAGTAAAGTTCTAGAAGAATTCAAAATTGCCTCATATAGATTAGTTAATTGCCTCCTTTATATTTAATCATAATTTTAATTACCTATATAGGGCATGCTTCCTTTCACTTTAGGAAAAAGAAATGTTAGTTTAAAATAGACAAAATTGGGAGATAAAATGAAGTTATATCTATCACAGTGCCTAATTCATAATCAGGGCTTTACAAATACTTGAAAAAGGGATAAAGGCAGGAATAAAGAAGGGAGAAAGGAAGAGAACACATATTATTTCACAAAAGAAGAATGGTGAATTAAGGGATTGTGACTCCCCTGTCTTTAGCTTAGTTGATGGCATACATAGAAACAGGGCATTGCATTCTAAATTGCTTCATTAAGTAATACTGCATTTGAGTATTTCCCAACTGATGACAAGTGACTAAACATTAATACTTTTCTCAGTGGATGAGTAATAAGAAGCCAGCACTCAGAATTTTTCTTATCCATCATCAAAGATAGATTTGTTGTGAGAATCTCAAATAGCCTCAGGGTGATGGCATTTCAGACAAAAAGTCCCTTTTTGCCTATGTTTGGTCATCACAGAGAGGTTTATCACTCTCTTAAGAGTTTGAAAGCACTTACCTAACTTGAGCAAGGCTCTGGATTCATCCCCAGCAGTTCAAAGAAAAAAAAAAAAAATCAAAAGAAGCCCTGAGGTTACCTGTCTGGGGACCACTGCTTTGTGCTGTTAAAGAGTTAATAAGTTATAAGTTGCATAGTTTTCACTTGAGGAGTTATACCATGATTATGGTAATTTAACTGGTATCACCAAAAACAGGAAGAAACCGCTTCAAAAACGGAAACTACTAGCACGTTTGATTTTTCCCCCATTTAACGTGCTTTGTTTTGGTGCTCATTTCCTGTTACTTAAAACTTAGAAAATTTTATGTCCATTATGTCCCTTTATTCAGGGTACTGGATGAGTCTTGGGAATATCTGAAACCTTCTTCCTTGGTGCCTTTCCTAAACAGTCCTGGACCTCATCAACATGGGAGCTTTTCCCATTGGAAACACAAGACTGATGGCTCTAGATGGCTCTGAAGGTCAAGATGAAGTTAATTGTTATTGAAACATCTTGAAAAGTCTAATGTGCAGATAGTTTACTACTGAGAAATATTTCAAAGTATAGGAAGAACTTAGATGAAAAATGTAAAATCTTCAGCTGATATTATTTGTTCCTTTGGTCTTAAGTACATAAGACATTAATAAATATAGATACAATAGAAATAGTATTTGGGCTGTTAGTTTGTTTTAGAACTTATTTTCGCAGGTTAATGTAGAGATACAGTAAAGTATGTGTGTGAAAGCACAGCCAGGTGCAGAGAGTGTGGGAAGGAGGGGCAACAGCATCTGTCCTTCACCTTGAACGTATTCTGCAATGATTGCATCTCCCCTGGGAATGCTCAGTGTAATGGAAATCCTTTCATCATAGGTTTTGCTATTATTTAACAACTATTTAGCATCTTTGGGCATAGTAGATATAAGAAGTAGCAAAATTGCATCTTTAGATTTAAAATTTGTCAGCAGAAAGAGTATCTTCATTTTTAGAAAAATAAGACCATTACAGATTTCACTAGAGTTAAAAAACTGTCATAAAATGAAACTTTCAAACTTATTTATGACTATAGAAGCAAAATAACTTCTTAAATTTGTACTTAGGAGTTGCTGCTGTGCTTACCACTTATGTTCATAATTTTGATAATGCTTAAGTCTTAGTCTGCCCAGAGCTGCATAAAATACCATAGACTGTGTGCTTTAAACAATGGAAATTTATTTCTCACAGCTTTTGAGGCTAGGAAGTCCAAGACCAGGGTGCCAGCTGATCTTCACCAGTCCTGGGGAAGGTCTTCTTCTTAGCCTGTAGACTGCTGTCTTCTCGCTATGTCCCTGAGAGAGAGAGACAGATGGAGGGAAGGGGACAGAGAGAGAGAGAGAGGGAGGAAGAACAGAGAGAGAGAGAGAGAGAGAGAAACAGAGAAAGAGGTAAAGTCACCAATCCCATTAAATTAGGATCCAAACCTATCTGTATGACCTCATATAATTTTTTATTGTTTGTAGTGCTGGGATGCTGAGGATTGAACCCAAGGCCTTGCTCATGCTAGCAAGTGCTATACCACTGGACTATACTACCAGTCCTGACCTCATCTAGTCTTTTTCTATAAAACATCACATCTCTAAATACAGTCACATTGGGATTAGAGCTTCAATATAAAAATTTGGGGGCATAACAGTTGAGCCTTT